GTTGGCAAATAACGAATCAGCAACTTCTAAAAACACCTGTTTTATCATTTCCCCGTCTTCATAAGGTTTCTTTTTTTGTGTAATTATCTGGGACACACGGTACGATGCTTCAGTTGCAGCCTTATTTTTGTCGACTGTTCTTAAAAATATTGATTGTTGTCCAATTAACTGCTTTTTTAACTGTTTCAGTTTCTCCTTTATGTCGGCAGAATGTAGTGGGAATGATTTTTCAAAATTAGAATGTACAGTTTTATGATGTCTCTCAATATTTCCTTTTTTAGCATACATAACAAACACACATTTTTATCTTTAACTTCTGTAAAAAAGTATTGTTCTTCCCATTCCGAATGAAAGTGGTATGTCTTTACCTTCTTACAACTGCTTGCCTTAATATTATTTTTTGTTGTTCTCTACTAACCCAACCGCTGGACGTTGGTTACGCGTTCTCTTTTAAACTAAGCGCAACGTAGAGATGTGTAGTTCGCGAACGAACTATTAAAATGAGCCGTTCTTTTGTGTGAACTAAATGAACTAGTTCGAATGTTTTAATTGAACTAGTTCACTAGTTCGACTCGACCTTCGGACCTTCAGCGGTAGCGATGAGAAAAGAACGACGAACGAATATGATTGATATACGTCGTCTCTGATCGGTATCAGGTATCGGTATTGTATCTTGTATCTATGGTATTGTATTGTAATTCTTTCGTTCGGAGTTCGGGTATCGCGTCGGGTCTGAACGGATTTGACAGGCTGACAGGGTCAATGATACACATTGTTATATTAAGCAACATGTGTTTACTACTAATATGCCGTCGAAGATTTCCGAGCGAACCGCCTAAGATACTAATTAGTTGACCGCAGTATTTACATTTGGCTTCATTTTTTTCAAAATGGTCCCACAAAACACTTCGACACCGTTTTTTTCATTTTGACACACTTGCAATTAAAAAACGCTAAATAAAATTGTACTTAACTCCAATAATTACCAATTCTAATTAAAAAAATAAAACGAATTTGTAAAATACAACAAAACAAGAACAACTAAACTACCAACCAGTTTCGTTCGCCACTCTGGGAACTACTGGCGTCCACGCGCTAAGCGCATGATCCGCTTTCCCCAATCGGTTAAAATAGTAGTTCGTTCGCGAACTAGTTCGTACGAACTAGGTCTTTAAAAAGAACGAAGAGTTCACATCTCTAGCGCAATGTCGCCGCGCCGTGCGTATTTATCCCGTTCAAAGCAATCCTGATCGAGTTGAAAGTTCTAAAATAACATCCACTCCAGGGATACAAATTCAGGATACGCAGAAGACTGCTGTTTTATTATAGGCGGTTGTCATATATTGTATTTTCCGAGTTGCGCAGTGTATAAACTGGAACATTGAGATAAAAAGTGCAGACGCAGAGTGAGCGATCTGATTCTTTAGCTATAAACTGTGTCATAGGGTTCAAAATGGCCGCGCCCTATGTTGGGCGTGTCGGACCTCTCTCTTGCCCCGTACAGTAATCAAAGTAGGTCTTTTCCTTTGCATCGAAAGTGTAGGACCGAGTTACACCACTTCTGAAAATATCGTTCCATTTATACAAATTGTATGAATGGAACAATATTTTCAGAAGTAACGTAGCTCAGTCACAGCTTATACAATACAATTTATTTAATTTTTTGTCATATTATGTAATTTTTGTTATATTGTGTAAGTTTTGTTATGTTGTGTAACTTATCTTATATCCAAATTATGTCTTATTGTGCAATATGTTATATTTATATTTACTTTTGTAATTACAATTTTTTTCCTGCTCTATAACTAGGCATTTAGCCTGTAGAGCAGTGTATTTAATAAATAAATAAATAAAAAAAAAATAAATACAGCTCCACAACTCCGTGTCGGCGTCTTTGATCTGGCGGTCGAGAACCAAGCAAGACGGAATGGTGCTATCTCTGTTAGATTAAAGGGAAAAGTCGGGCCCGGATTAAGCAATTTTTTTATTATTGAAAAAATTGAAAACCTTGACGTAATAAGGTTGGTTACATGCCATGTTAAGTAAGTTTTGGGAAATTAAATTTTTAATTTGTTTTAAATCTGTCAAATATAATTAAAAAAATTATTTAAATATAAATATTACGAAAAATAGCACATCTTTCGGATTAGAGGTAAAATAATTTGTATGTGGCTAGTAAAATCCTCGTTAACAAATGTTTTGAGCTAAAACAGTCACTTCACGACAAATTGTAACTTGGATCCTTTTTACACCAAGGGCTTCAATTGTTAAAGAAATGTGTCACGCTCGTGGATGCAAATCAAGTGGTACCCCGTGTCTCTGGCAAGTGTTACTCTTCGCGCAAAGGGTTTATACCTAGATAAACGAATGCTTCGACTGAGGTCTGGGAACTCTATGGTATTTTGGAATTATAAAGAATTTGTGCTTTTATTTTAACAATATTGGTTATATTTAGATGTATTCTTATTAATTGAAATACAGATTTGTAGAAGTAATACTTTAACAGTTTTTATTAATATAATATATTCAATTTTTATCTGACCATACCGAAGTAGGGAATTTTGAAACTTTATAGTAATGTAAAATTTGAATTACAATATTACACGATATTACATAATTAGTACTTATTTTAGGTAGGTACTAAATTTGTACTTGGAGAAATTAATATCGATTTTTACAAGAAAACTTGAAAAGTAAATTAATTTAGTACTTATTTCTGATGTAAAACTTAAACCAAGAAAACAAATAAATTGTAGTTTGTTCAACAAGGGTGGATATGATAGCCATATCACACAAAGACGAAGTTTGAGCACGACGTCGTAGGCGGAGTACTCAATCGTCTGATTGTGATATGAACAATCCACTCGATATGGTCAGTATATTTTTTCTACGACCCACTAACGAAAATCTACAAATTTAAAAAATTATTTTAGGTTATTTAGACAAAATAACTAATTTTAAAATAATTTACGAAGTTGACTAATTTATAAAATAAAATAAACATGAAAAATTAATTAGTCCTCGGCCTAGATTCGATCCCGGACTTTTCGCATGGAAGGCAGATGTTCTGTCCTCATCTTCACCGAAACTTTCAGGACTTTAGTTTTAATACTCGTAATTAAATTAGTATCATGTAGTTTGATTAAAATTTATTTTTTTTTTAAATGTGGACATAATAAAAACAAAAATGCTATTATTTATCGAGTCTACACAAAAATTTTAATGTATATTTAATATCAATAACTAAAATATATATTGACAATTAGTTTAAGAGAATTATCACTTATTTAAAAAATTTTAAATAATAGGAGTTGGGTGACCAAAATATGAACTGTGATTTGTAGATTTAATTTTGTTAAAGTGTTCTCACTACCTAAAATGGATATGAAATATATTCGTAGTTGAACGCAATAACATAATTTTTCGTTTTGTAGTATGTGCGTAGATTGGCTATAATATCCATGCACAGATTACAAAACGAAAAAGTATGCTATTGCCTTCAATTGAACGAAAATATTTCATATCCATTCTAGGTAGTGAGAACACTGCAAAAAAAAATAAATTCGCCAATCACCGTTCATATTTTGATCAACCGACTGCTATTATTTTTAAAATTTTAAATAAATGACAATTCTGTCAAACTAATTGTCAGTATATTTTTTAGTTATTGAGATTAAACATACAATAAAATAAGTTATTCTTTTGGAAAACGTTAGCATGGATGACTAAAGGGTATTGGGTTAATTAATTCTAAAAGTGTAGTACAAATGTTATTTTTTGTAGCCAATTCTTCAAAATTATTTTAAAATATCTTTTCAATATTGAATATTAGTTCTACAAATTCATCATTTGACAGTTGCAGATTTCCAAATGTATCTGAATTGGCGTTATCATATGCCTTTTAAAAGCAATAAAAAGAAAAATCGTCTAATTTAACGTGATCTTTGTTATATTTAAGACAGGTATCGCAGGAGTGGATCCGCAAGGCTTTTATTAAAAGGTAACCACACACATACCTGATAAAAATTTTCTGTAGCAATTCGTCTTTACAATAATTTAGGGTGTTAATAATTTCATCATAAAATAAAATACAAGGTGTTCCATTTAAAAAACATACATTTTAATTTTCCTGGCAAAAACGTGACACCCTGTATATCCAAAGATATTTTTAAAATATGTAGGTATTTTCAAATCCATATAACTTTTATTTAAAACTTTCTTGCGTGTCTACAACAAAATAATGAACAATAACGCACTAATGAGACACCCTGTATAAATTATATTTTTAACAATGAAAATTTCTTATAATGTAGTACTTATCGGTTTGGGTCCTTGGGAAAACTAAAGAATGTTTTCTTGCAGGTATAACCCTTATTAAAACAGCTTTTGACTGCACAAACTCATTCTACTCACAGCTAAAGAGTCACCAAAATAATAACAGTACCTTTAACTCAAACAAAATCAACGAAATTATAGGCTCCACGAAATTATACAATCAACGAAATTATACGCACGACTCAACACCTTGCCTAAGTACGCTTCTGAACGCCAAAACCGTCTTTTCCCTTCGAAGGCGGAGCTTAAGCGATGCGCGACGAAATCGACGCAAACCGTTGCCGCCAAGAGAGTGTTTTAGCTGTATTGTATAAGCTGTGGCTCAGTGCTACACTTTCGATGCAAAGGAAAAGACCTAGTATGTGCGTCAGCGGCAGATCGCTCACCGCAACGTTGCCGCTGTTTATGTTTAATGTTATGACAATTAGATTTTTTTGTGGAATTTTCGGAAGCTTCTCTGATTTTTGCAGTTTGTTTTTTTTAAATTAAAATCGTTGTGAGAGCTACCAGAATAGCCTCCGCGAGCTACCGGTAGCTCGCGATCGACAGGTTGGCGACCACTGATATAGATAGACGGAAAGATCTACAAACAGACCTGGGATCGTTACTAAAAAAATTAACGCGTTACTTTTGGTGTAAAAGTACCGTGTTATATAATCGCTTACCTGTAGAAGTAATATGCACTTTCTGCACATATTTTGGAATGCATTCAGCCACATATTTTCCGAAAGTTTTTAACTGGTTTCTTCTCGCGTGTTTTCCTTCCTTTTTAACATCTTTTTTTGTTATAGCACTACTACCGTTTCTAATTAAACGGTTCGTGAAATTAAAACATCTTAAAATAGGGATTGGAGTTTTTTGAAATAATATATTCATGAGAATAATAAGATATAACTATTAATTCAAAATTAATAGTGATTGAAGTTCATTGATACCGTCAAGTTTGATGGATCATTGATAAGTGCCAAAAAAATGATTATATAGGAGGTACGTCATTAATATAAAAACTAGAGATAATTTATACAATATAAAAACCAATCTACGTCATCGATAAATTTTAGATCGTTACAGTTCCTCTCAGTTGCCAAATTTTGAAAATATTTATGGAATCTTTGACAGTTCCGACAATTAGACATTCCAGCGATCTGTCAAAATGCTGACAAGTGGGAACTGACTGTTTAGATATAGCAACCCTGTGGCCTGCTGTCATTAGCAGGGTCAATGTTACATATACAGGGTGTCTGTAAAAGGTCTTTACAAAAACATACCACATATTCCTACCATATCTACCATATTCAGGGATACGAAAGTATATACAATAATGGAAATCTAAACCAAAATGACGGCGTTTTGGTTTTTGTTAAAAATCATTTGAAATCTAATAAAACTATTGAATATATTGGGGATATTAAAGTAATTTCTATCTTAGTCACAGCAAAAAATAAAAAAATTGAAATTAAATCTATATACCGATCACCTAGTACTTGTTTAAAAATTTTTAATCAGAATCTAATCAATTATTTAAATTCATTAAAAAAACACGATATAAGCATTATAACAGGTGACATAAATATAGACTTATTAAACAGCAATGATGAAACAGTAGAAGAATACAAAAATATAATGACCTCTTTTGGATACATTTCATACATTAACGAATACACTCGTTTACCTAGTCGAACATGCTTGGATCATTTTTATGTATCTAATCGCAACACGCTTGAAGCTAAATCATATATTTTTAGATATAATATTACAGATCACTGTCCCATAGCCCTTACGTTGGAAATAGAACAAAACAGCATTAAGATAAAACATCAATTAAAGTACAAATATTACATAAATTACCCATTACTAAAAAATGCTTTAATATTGGAAAAATGGGAACAGGTATACAATGAAACGGAAGTTGATAATATAACTCTAAAATTTATTAATACTCTTAAATATCACATTAATCAAAATACACAAAAAGTAAAAATAAAACAAAAAATAAAAATATTACAAAATTGGATGAATCCTACGTTAGTAAAATTAATTGATGAAAAAAATAAATTGTACAAATTAACCTTAAAACATCCCGATAATTTAGAAACAAAAAAGCCAAAGCACAAAAATAATATAAATAAATTAGTTAAAAAAGCAAAAAAGGACTATTATAGAAAAATCATCCAAAAAATCAAAATTCCTCCAAATCTTTGTGGGAGTGCATTAACAAGGTTTGCGGCAAAACGGCACCTAAAAAAACTATTGAAAAAATTAAATTAAATGGATCTGAAATTACTGACAAATTGAATATTGCAAATGAATTTAATACATACTACTCTGAACTAGGCTTAAATTTAGCTGAAAAAATACCAAAAGTAACAAATTATACAGAAAATATAAATTACTTAGAAAGTACTATGTTCCTTAGCCCTACTGATGAGGTTGAGGTCATTAATACAATTAAAGATCTGAAACGTTAAGGGAAATATCTAATGAGATTGCAAGTCCACTAACCTACTTAATAAATAAATGTTTTAGTACAGGCTCTTTTCCGAAAATTCTGAAAAATGGTCTAGTTAAACCACTTTATAAAAGTGTAAAAAAAACGGAAATGGTTAATTACAGGCCTGTATCATTGGTGTCAAATATTTCGAAAATAATAGAAAAAATAATAAAAATTAGACTTTGTTCCTTCTTAAAAAAATATAAAATTTTATCCAATCGGCAGTATGGCTTCAGAGAATCTAGGTCGACTGAAGATGCGATATATAAGTTAACTTCTCTTATTTATGATTCGCTTGATAATAATATTCCTGCTGTGTGTATCTTCCTAGATCTCTCTAAAGCATTTGATACCGTTTGCCACAAATCGTTATTAAATAAATTAGAGAAGTATGGCATAAGAGGAAATACCTACAAACTCATTGAAAGTTATTTATCAGATAGGGATCAAATAGTAGAAATCGATGGAGTAATGAGCACACCGCAAACAATTACTTACGGTGTACCTCAAGGAACCGTTCTTGGTCCACTTCTGTTCCTTTTATATATTAATAGTATGCTTTTCTTGAATATTCAGGGTGAGCTCATCAGTTTTGCAGATGACACTGTAGTATTTTATAATTCATCCAACTGGCAAGATCTAAAAAATAAAATAGAAAATGATTTTCCTTTTATTACTAAATGGTTACAATTCAATAAATTAACGCTTAACTCTAGTAAAACAAACTACTTACCTTTTTCATCCTACCTAACTGGGTTACCTAACTTGGGGCCACTGAACATCGGGACGACTAACCACATTGTAGAAGCAGAAAAAGTAAAATACCTCGGTATTACAATTGATCGTCATATGAGATGGGATCTACAATGTAAGGAAATAGTAAAAAAAATAAGAGGTCATTTGCCAAAATTTAGGTATTTAAAGGAAATTCTTGAAGTTGAGGAATGAAAAGTCTTGTATTTCTCACTGGTTGAGTCACTGCTTTCTTATGGTATTTTAGGGTGGGGTGGAGTAAATGACTGTTTCTTAAATAGTGTTCATATTGTACAAAAATGGCTTTTAAGAATCATATTCCAAAAAAATATTTTATTTTCCTCAGATCAATTATATCTAGATGCCCAAGTAAAAGATGTACGACAAATTTTCGTTCAAAAAATATTGTTTTTTATATTTCAAAATAAAATAAAATTTGTACATCATGAACACTCTTATAATACTAGGAGATATGAAGGGATCGTTTTCCCACGAAGTGAAAAAACTATCGGGAAAAGAAATACTAACTATTTAGCCCCAAGAATTTACGTGCTGTTATCTAATGACATAAAAAACTCAAAAAGTTTTAATTTATATAAAAATCGAATTAAAAAATGGATTATGGAAACAGAGAGACGATTTTTTACCGATATAGTAAATCAAACTCTACAGTGACAAAAGTAGCCATTTCAAGAATATGTGTCTGCAAGATTATGTGTCTGATGTTTTAATTTTAATTTTAACTTACCTCTATTTTGTCCTTATACCCCGAATGTGTCTTAAACTGGATTTGACAATATTTTTTTTTTTTCACTGGGTTTGACAAAAACCCTGTTTGTGTCGCCCAAAAAAGGCAAAACAAACTGTATTAAGGTCACAATTTTTAAATCGTTTTTCCCATATAAATTTAAAACGGCATATGCGATTTTGCTGAAATTTGGTATATTTGCTAGAGTTTTATGTGGCAAAAAAATGGTATTAAAATTTTGTCCGATAATAATACATAGGCGTAGAACTTGTTTTTTTAAATAATTGCACCTTTAAAAATTCTACGCCAATGGAAGAAAAGGAGTTTGAGTATGAAATTTAGATTGCGCAACTCATTTACTTTAAAAAAGGTACTCTTGATAAGACTCGATTACTCTCATGGTTTTCGCTAAATTTCTGTTTTAATAATTTAGAGTGTATAGGTTTCACAAAAATATTTATTTACAATATAATCAAAATAGAGATTTTACAAAAATTGTTCAAAATGTTCACCTTTTTCACGCATACAAAGATTTATACGTAATTAAAATGTATCCTTTCCATTACTTCTTCATCACCTCTAAGATTGTTTATTGCATCTTGAATACGTTACCAGAGTTGTTCCTCATTTTCTACAGGTTCCCTGTAAACTGTGGATTTCAGATGTCCCCATAAAAAGTAATCCATCGGTGTTAGGTCTGGGGAACGTGGTGGCCAGTTTACACGTGCGTCTTTACCTCTGCCTATCTATTTGTGTGGATATTGTTCATTCAAGTGGTTTCTAACGTTTAAAGAAAAATGTGATGGAGCTCCATCTTGCATAAACCACATATCTCTCCGAAGTTGGAGAGGTAAATCTTCTAACAATTCTGGCAACGTATTTTGTAGAAAATCCAAATAATTTTCTGCAGTTAATCTTCGCGGAAGTATGACAGGACCAACAATGAAATTACCAATTATTCCAGCCCACACATTAATTTTGAATTCGTGCTGAAAATGGTTTACCTTTATTGCATGCGGATTTTCAACGGCATAAACATGTTCATTATGGGTATTAGTTATACCTCTTCTTGTAAAACCCGCTTCATCGGTAAAGAGAATCTTCTTGACAAAGTTTGGTATCTTTCTCTTTACATATTAACAAATCGACAAAAACCCAAACGAATTTGAGAATCATGGACTAATATTTCTTGTACTGGCTTCTTATGGTATGGATATAGCAATTGTTCTCTAAGCACTTTATGAACGACATCTTTACTTACTCGTAGTTCCCTTCCAATTCGTCTGGTGCTTAATTCTGGATCTTCTTCAACACGTTCTAAAATGTCTTCTTCAACTTCAGGAATCCTTACAAAACGTTCTCTTCCATTATCAACAGTGTTGGGAGCAAAGGAACCGGTCTCCCGAAGACGTCTCTCAACAGCAGCAAAAGTTGGGTGGCTAGGTACACGACGATTTGGAAACCTTTCAGAGTACACCCTGACACTCTTTCGAGCATTTCTTTTAAAAAATCCTAATGTCAGTAACATATCGGTATATTCTGCATTGGTATATTGTACAGCCATATTAATAAACCACGCATTTGTTTTTTTAATTATTGAGTCAGATAGAACACTTTCAATCGTTAACAAGAGATTAGGTGTTAAAGCTTGACAATATTTTTATTTAGATGAAACTATGGAAACCAACAATAAATGTTTTTGTATACGTATTGCAGGCAAATAATTAATATTCCTCAAAAAATCGTACATGGCAAGAATCGAGTATTTTTGTTAAAAGTCTCGATTAGAGGTGTTGAAAAAGATATGAAAAAAGTACATTTTTATGTTTTTCATCGTATAAAATTTTGTCCGATAATAATACATAGGCGTAGAACTTGATTTTTTAAATAATTGCACCTTTAAAAATTCTACGCCAATGGCAGAAAATGGGTTTGAGTATGAAATATAAAAAGAAGCACAAAGCATATACAAGACACTAAAGCAATAACATGTTTGTACAGTGGTTTGATCCGAAGTAGCCCAATCGGATTAGGTGAAGAACAGGCTTGAGATTCTGAAAAATTCGAAGCAGCAATTTTCCTTCGGAATTCGTTGGAGGGGGTCTGTGGTAGTCTAAATTCAAAAAGTTGGGATTTCAAAGTTGTCGTTACCTCCGCCAGCTTGATTTAAAGGGTTATTTTTTGTATCTTGAATAACTCATTTATTTTCAATTTTACACGGAAAATAGTTTTTACAAAAGTTATTTAAAATTAAATTTCCTACAATTCTGCTTTTTTTGTACGATCGATTTTTTTCGATTTATACCCGAAAAGAGGGGGTGAATTTTTGGTTATATAATAACTCGTTTATTTTCAATTTTACGAGAAAAATTGTTATAAACAATGTTGTTTGAAATTAAATTTCCTACAATTCTGCTTTTTTTTTGTACGATCGATTTTTTTCGATTTATACCCGAAAAGAGGGGGTGAATTTTTGGTTATAGAATTACTCGTTTATTTTTAATTTTACGAGAAAAATTGTTATAAACAAAGTTGTTTAAAATTAAATTTCCTACAATTCTGTTTTTTTTTGTACGCTCGATTTTTTTGTATTTATCCCTGAGAAGAGTGGGGGTAAACTCTTATCATTGTATTATCACGTTTCTTTTTAATTCCAGGTATCAGCAAAAAAAACAAACAGAAAAATAATGGTACAACATCAATAATAAACGTGACAATACAATAGTTAGGTTCACCCCCACTCTTCTCAGGGATAAATACAAAAAAATAGATCGTACAAAAAAAAAAACAGAATTGTAGGAAATTTAATTTTAAACAACTTTGTTTATAACAATTTTTCTCGTAAAATTGAAAATAAACGAGTTATTCTATAACCAAAAATTCACCCCTCTTTTCGGGTATAAATCGAAAAAAATCGATCGTACAAAGAAAAAGCAGAATTGTAGGAAATTTAATTTTAAACAACTTTGTTTATAACAATTTTTCTCGTAAAATTGAAAATAAACGAGTTATTTTATAACCAAAAATTCACCCCCTCTTTTCGGGTATAAATCGAAAAAATCGATCGTACAAAAAAAAAAAAAGCAGAATTGTAGGAAATTTAATTTTAAATAACTTTTGTAAAAACTATTTTCCGTGTAAAATTGAAAATAAATGAGTTATTCAAGATACAAAAAATAACCCTTTAAATCAAGATGGCGGAGGGTAACGACAACTTTGGAATCCCAACTTTTTGAATTTAGACTACCAGAGACCCCCTCCAACGAATTCCGAAGGAAAATTGCTGCTTCGAATTTTTCAGAATCTAAAATACTAATCCGATTGGGCTAAAGTATTTTAGAGTATTGTAGTACTGTTTGGTCTCCGTCACAAGCTATTTATGTCAACCGAATTGAACGAGTTCAAAACAAATTTTGTAAATATTTGCTATTTAAGTTTCACTTTCCATATCGGGATTTATCGTATGAAACGAGACTGCTACTCTGTGGTATGCAAACTCTTGAACGGAGACGCAGGGATGCAATGTTACTTTTGCTCTACAAAATAATTAATGGAGACATTATTTGTGAAAAATTGTTATGCCAAGTAAATTTCGCTGTTCCGTTAAGGCATACTCGACAGTCACAACTATTCTTTGAGAAAACCCATCGTACAAACTATGGACAAAGAGCTTTCATGCAACTATAATAAGTACTATTCTCACTGTGATATTTTTAATTGTACGTTATTATCTGTTAAGAGGATGCTCGAATTTTAAAATTTTAGGTTGTTTCTTGTCTTGTATGGTGTTAGACTTTGTTTTTTAGACGTTAAATGTATTTTAAAATTTCTGAAGAGTTTTGATATTTATATATTCGGTTTTTTTTTTATATGTATATACTTATACTTTAATTGTTGTTTTAGCTTTAAGACTGTGTGCCATTTGGAATTCATGTTTCTGTAAAGTACTTAAGACAATAAATAAATAAATAAATAAATAAATAAATAAATTTGGATTGGGTACTCATTTACTACAAAAAAGTACCCTTGATAATACTCGATTTACTCTCATGGTTTTGACAAAGTTTGTATTTTAATAATTATTGTTTATGTTCTAAAATTACCAAAATGCCAGAGTCTTATTACGCACCAATTTCTTGTTTCATTGTTAGCATTGTGTCATTCAAACAGAGAGATCTAATTTCATACATTACTCTTTTAATAACTCCATAGGAAAAATCTAGAGGTGTAATCTATTTGAATTTTTTTTATAAATATAATTATCTACAATATTGTGAAGCCACGCCATTATTTCAAGAGTGAAACGTCTACCAAAATATTAAATGTGATAACATGTTAAAGCTAGATTTAATAGTTGAGCAACAATTAAATAATTCAAGTTTTGGGGTCACATTTTAGGGGTAGTCTGACAAAATTTAAATTTGATGGTACAGCCTAAAAGACATCTAGGTACAAATCATGTCTTCGTTTTCATAAGTAGCATAACTGGCATATTGGTTGAGTAAAAAATCAGTGCCACTCTATGAATCTATCATTTAATAATTATATTACTCAGAAGTACCTTTTTTAAAGTAAATCAGTTGCGCAATCTAAATTTCATACTCAAACTCCTTTTCTTCCATTGGCGTAGAATTTTTAAAGGTGCAATTATTTAAAAAATCAAGTTCTACGCCTATGTATTATTATCGGAAAAAATTTTAATACCATTTTTTTGCCACATAAAACTCTACCAATATACCAAATTTCAGCAAAATCGCATATGCCGTTTTAAATTTATATGGGAAAAACTATTTAAAAATTATAACTTCAAGGCCCTCTGGAGTCCAAACGAAGCAACTTTGTACTAAGGTAATTTTACTTAAATCGACTTATTTTGGTCTAAGGAATATGTGGTATGTAAAAGATCTTTTGAAAAATGAATCGTTAAGTTGTGTGGATATCTCAAATGTTAACTGTGCAGATCTTTCCGATATATCAATTTATTTTTTAAATATATGGGAGTTGAGGTTTAAAGAATTCGAAATACCGTGGCCGCCATCTAATATTTAAATAAATTTCCTATATTGAGTCAGTTCTTTAACGCGTTGAACTTGGCCTTAATGTATTTTTCGCGGCATAAATAAACACTAACGTTTATGATAGATTATGTTATTTATACGTCTATAGACGTACATAACCGTCTAAATATCATAAATGTTCATATTGGTTTATGCCGCGAGAAATACCTCATTGTATATACCTATCCGAGATAAAATCAATACGAAGCGTCTGTAGAAACAAAAAAAATCATCCCTTTCAACCGCTTCTTCGTCACCCGCTGACCCACTTGATGCTACGCTTGTGCAAAAGGTACCCGTTACTCCATCCACTATCCACTCTCGCTGTGTCATCATCGTTAAACCGCCGTCCATTCGCCTAGAAACAGAAACTGAACACACAGTGAGTTTTCAGTTAGTCAGCAAGTAACATATCTACAACCTCGAAACGTTGTGTCTCGTAGTTGCTCTTTTTCTTCGATTCTTCGCTTGTATTCCGCGTTTAATCGACACAAGAAGTGAAACAATGGAATTGCAGTTGTTGTTAGCTTTTGTTTTTGCCGTGTCGACGGTGTTCGCCCAACACGACCATCATAATCATGAGATGCATGATCATTCAATGCACAGGGTAAGTTTGTTTAATATTTCTTATTTAGAAAAAAAAAAAGAAAGTAGGTAAATCTTTAGATTAATGCGTAATCCGTATTGGAAAGTATAGTATATATATACTAGAATAGATAGTAAATAATACAAAAATAAAGTATAATGTTCCTCAGGGATCGGATTTGGGTCCAATATTATCTAAATAATATATTTATTCCCGAACAAAAAGGTCAAATCATTAATTTTGCAGATTATACTGTAGTTTTAACAAAAATTCTGATTGGTTTTCATTAAAAAAAACACGTAATTCAAATATAAAGTGTAATGTTCCTCAGGGATCGGTTTTGGATCCAATATTATCAAAATAATATATTTATTCTCAAACAAAAAGGTCAAATCATTAATTTTGAAGACTATACTGTAGTTTTAACAAAAATTCTGATTGGTTTTCATTAAAAAAACACGTAATACAAATATAAAGTGTAATGTTCCTCAGGGATCGGTTTTGGATCCAATATTATCAAAATAATATATTTATTCTCGAACATAAAGGTCAAATCATTAATTTTGCAGATTATACTGTAGTTTTAACAAAAATTATGATTGGTATTCATTAAAAAAACACGTAATTCAAATATAAAGTGTAATGTTCCTCAGGGTTCGGTTCTAGGTCCAATATTATCTAAATAATATATTTATTCTTGATCAAAAAGGTCAAATCATTATTTTCGCAGATTATACTGTAGTTTTAACAAAAATTCTGATTGGTTTTCATTAAAAAAACACGCAATACAAATATAAAGTGTAATGTTCCTTAGGGTTCGTATTTAGGTCCAATATTACCTAAATAATATATTTATTCTCGAACAAAAAGGTCAAATCATTAATTTTGCAGATTATACTGTAGTTTTAACAAAAATTCTGATTGGTTTTCATTAAAAAAACACGTAATACAAATATAAAGTGTAATGTTCCTCAGGGTTCGGTTCTGGGTCCAATATTATCTAAATAATATATTTATTCTCGAACAAAAAGGTCAAATCATTAATTTTGTAGATTATACTGTAGTTTTAACAAAAATTCTGATTGGTTTTCATTAAAAAAACACGTAATACAAATATAAAGTGTAATGTTCCTCAGGGTTCGATTCTGGGTCCAATATTATCTAAATAATATATTTATTCTCGAACATAAAGGTCAAATCATTAATTTTGTAGATTATACTGTAGTTTTAACAAACATTCTGATTGGTTTTCATTAAAAAAACACGTAATACAAATATAAAGTATAATGTTCCTCAGAGGGATCGGTTCTGGATCCATTATTATCAAAATAATATATTTATTCTCAAACAAAAAGGTCAAATCATTAATTTTGCAGATTATACTGTAGTTTTAACAAAAATTCTGATTGGTTTTCATTAAAAAAACACGTAATACAAATATAAAGTGTAATGTTCCTCAGGGATCGGTTCTGGATCCAATATTATCAAAATAATATATTTATTTTCGAACATAAAGGTCAAATCATTAATTTTGTGGATTATACTGTAGTTTTAACAAAAATCCTGATTGGTTTTCATTAAAAAAACACTTAATACAAATATAAAGTTTAATATTCCGCAGGGATCGGTTCTGGATCCAATTTTATCAAAATAATATATTTATTCTCGAACATAAAGGTCAAATCATTAATTTTGTAGATTATACGGTAGTTTTAACAAAAATTCTGATTGGTTTTCATTAAAAAAAAACACGTAATACAAATATAAAGTGTAATGTTCCTCAGGGATCGTATTTAGGTCCAATATTATCTAAATAATATATTTATTCTCAAACAAAAAGGTCAAATCATTAATTTTGAAGACTATACTGTAGTTTTAAAAAAAATTCTGATTGGTTTTCATTAAAAAAACACGTAATACAAATATAAAGTGTAATGTTCCTCAGGGCTCTGTTCTGGGTCCAATATTATCTAAATAATATATTTATTATCGAACAAAAAGGTCAAATCATTAATTTTGCAGATTATACTATAGTTTTAACAAAAAATTCTGATTGGTTTTCATTAAAAAAGCACGTAATACAAATATAAAGTGTAATGTTCCTCAGGGTTCGGTTCTGGGTCCAATATTATCTAAATAATATATTTATTCTCGAACATAAAGGTCAAATCATTAATTTTGCAGATTATAATGTAGTTTTAACAAAAATTCTGATTGGTTTTCATTAAAAAAACACGTAATACAAATATAAATTGTAATATTCCTCAGGGTTCGGTTCTGGGTCCAATATTATCTAAATAATATATTTATTCTCGAACATAAAGGTCAAATCATTAATTTTGTAGCTTATACTGTAGTTTTAACAAAAATTCTGATTGGTTTTCATTAAAAAAACACGTAATACAAATATAAAGTGTAATGTTCCTCAGGGCTCTGTTCTGGGTCCAATATTATCTAAATAATATATTTATTATCGAACAAAAAGGTCAAATCATTAATTTTGCAGATTATACTGTAGTTTTAACAAAAATTCTGATTGGTTTTCATTAAAAAAACTCGGAATACAAATATAAAGTGTAATGTTCCTCAGGGTTCGGTTCTGGGTCCAATATTATCTAAATAATATATTTATTCTCGAACGAAAAGGTCAAATCATTAATTTTGCAGATTATACTGTAGTTTTAACAAAAATTCTGATTGGTTTTCATTAAAAAAACACGTAATACAAATATAAAGTGTAATGTTCCTCAGGGCTCTGTTCTGGGTCCAATATTATCTAAATAATATATTTATTATCGAACAAAAAGGTCAAATCATTAATTTTGCGGATTATACTGTAGTTTTAACAAAAATTCTGATTGGTTTTCATTAAAAAAGCACGTAATTCAAATATAAAGTGTAATGTTCCTCAGGGATCGGTTTTGGATCCAATATTATCAAAATAATATATTTATTCTCAAACAAAAAGGTCAAATTATTAATTTTGAAGACTATACTGTAGTTTTAACAAAAATTCTGATTGGTTTTCATTAAAAAAACACGTAATACAAATATAAAGTGTAATGTTCCTCAGGGCTCTGTTCTGGGTCCAATATTATCTAAATAATATATTTATTATCGAACAAAAAGGTCAAATCATTAATTTTGCAGATTATACTGTAGTTTTAACAAAAATTCTGATTGGTTTTCATTAAAAAAGCACGTAATTCAAATATAAAGTGTAATGTTCCTCAGGGATCGGTTTTGGATCCAATATTATCAAAATAATATATTTATTCTCAAAGAAAAAGGTCAAATCATTAATTTTGAAGACCATACTGTAGTTTTAACAAAAATTCTGATTGGTTTTCATTAAAAAAAACACGTAATACAAATATAAAGTGTAATGTTCCTCAGGGATCGGTTTTGGATCCAATATTATCAAAATAATATATTGATTCTCAAACAAAAAGGTCAAATCATTAATTTTGAAGACTATACTGTAGTTTTAACAAAAATTTTGATTAGTTTTCATTAAAATAGCACGTAATTCAAATATAAAGTGTAATGTTCCTCAGGGATCGGTTTTGGATCCAATATTATCAAAATAATATATTTATTCTCAAACAAAAAGGTCAAATCATTAATTTTGCAGATTATACCGTAGTTTTAACAAAAATTCTGATTGGTTTTAATTAAAAAAACACGTAATACAAATAATATAAAGTGTAATGTTCCTCAGGGATCGGATTTGGATCCAATATTATCAAAATAATATATTTATTTTCGAACAAAAAGGTCAAATCATTAATTTTGAAGACTATACTGTAGTTTTAACAAAAATTCTGATTGGTTTTCATTAAAAAAACACATAATACAAATATAAAGTGTAATGTTCCTCAGGATTCGGTTCTGGGTCCAATACTATCTAAATAATATATTTTTTCTCGAACGAAAAGGTCAAATCATTAATTTTGCAGATTATACTGTAGTTTTAACAAAAATTCTGATTGGTTTTCATTAAAAAAGCACGTATTTCAAATATAAAGTGTAATGTTCCTCAGGGATCGGTTTTGGATCCAATATTATCAAAATAATATATTTATTCTCAAACAAAAAGGTCAAATCATTAATTTTGAAGACTACACTGTAGTTTTAACAAAAATTCTGATTGGTTTTCATTAAAAAAAACACGTAATACAAATATAAAGTGTAATGTTCCTCAGGGATCGGTTTTGGATCCAATATTATCAAAATAATATATTGATTCTCAAACAAAAAGGTCAAATCATTAATTTTGAAGACTATACTGTAGTTTTAACAAAAATTTTGATTAGTTTTCATTAAAAAAGCACGTAATTCAAATATAAAGTGTAATGTTCCTCAGGGATCGGTTTTGGATCCAATATTATCAAAATAATATATTTATTCTCAAACAAAAAGGTCAAATCATTAATTTTGCAGATTATACCGTAGTTTTAACAAAAATTCTGATTGGTTTTCATTAAAAAAACACATAATACAAATATAAAGTGTAATGTTCCTCAGGGTTCGGTTCTGGGTCCAATACTATCTAAATAATATATTTTTTCTCGAACGAAAAGGTCAAATCATTAATTTTGCAGATTATACTGTAGTTTTAACAAAAATTCTGATTGGTTTTCATTAAAAAAGCACGTATTTCAAATATAAAGTGTAATGTTCCTCAGGGATCGGTTTTGGATCCAATATTATCAAAATAATATATTTATTCTCAAACAAAAAGGTCAAATCATTAATTTTGAAGACTACACTGTAGTTTTAACAAAAATTCTGATTGGTTTTCATTAAAAAAACACGTAATACAAATATAAAGTGTAATGTTCCTCAGGGCTCTGTTCTGGGTCCAATATTATCTAAATAATATATTTATTATCTAACAAAAAGGTCAAATCATTAATTTTGCAGATTATACTATAGTTTTAACAAAAATTCTGATTGGTTTTCATTAAAAAAGCACGTAATACAAATATAAAGTGTAATGTTCCTCAGGGTTCGGTTCT